TGGGGGTCAGAGTGATTAGATATTTTAAGATATTAAGTCAGCAGTTAACGGGGCTCTGGGCTGGAAGAGGCCTGGGTATGTTATATGCTGAGGGCTGCAGCTTTTCATTCATTTTTCTTTAACCACTAAAGAACTAGAAATAATTTCAGACTCTTCTTGTCAGTTAGCTGATGAGGAAGCAGGATGTAGGGGTTCCTGCTCGGATCAGCAGTTTCTTAATAAGTAAAAGACTTTGAAACCACAACTAGAGGCTATACACATAAGTCAGCTCTCCAGCTTAAGAGCTGAGCCAGGGATTCTAACTACAAGCAGGTGGACTATAAGAAGGAATCCGGAAGAATTCATTTGCCCCTTTTATGTGAGAACCGTAGGATGAAAAGATGTCTCCTTATTTATGGGTCCTATGAGGAAAGAGATTAGCAGTAAGAATATGTAAACAATAAGACTGAAAAGAAAAAAGCAAAGCTATTTCTGAAAAGGATTACAACAGGAAATTCATATTATAGCAACTATCTGCTTCAAGAAAGCATGGATTCTACATAGACAGAAGAATAAAGGCAATATGACCAACAGATTAAGACAGTGCTGGCTGAGAAACAAATACAAATGTTCAGTGATTTGAATTAAGTAAGAAAAAAATATTAAAGAACTTAAATCAATATAAAAATCTGAAAGTAGCAGTTGATATTACAGAAAATAGAATTGATCTGAAAGAAAAGTTTGAAGCCAGATGCAATGGTGCACACCTGTACTCCCAGCAACTCAAGAGGCTGAGGCAGGAGGACCACAAGTTCGAGGCCAGCCTCAGAAACTCACAGAGATTCTATCTCAAAAAATAAAAGGACTGAGGATGTAGCTCAGTGGTAAAGCCTTAGATTCCATCTCTAACACCAAAAGAACAGAAGAGCAAAAAAGAAAAAAGGAAAAGTCTCCCCTCAGGCAGAAGGGCACTGATTTTAAAAGTTGACAGAGAAGACCAAACACAAAAAGCTTCCACTGAAAGGACAGGTGTACTTGAAACAGATACAGAATAAGTGCAAGTAATACTATATCTTAAGGATTATAAATAGAGTATTTTAAAATTTTAACATCTGTGAAAATTGGGATATAAATTAATGAATTCTCACAGTTACGGTGGACAGCTCTTTATCTTTCTTAGCAATTCACAGGATACATCTAACACAGGAGGTGTCTTATATTCAGTAAAATATGGTAATTTAAAGCATTCTAGAAGAAAATATTCCTATACTGAAAGTACCTTGTCTGAAAATCTAGAGTGCCTATTTGTTACCATAATGACCTTTTATAATTTCAGAGTCACACATATATACATAGAATATTTTTATTACATAAATCATATATGATTTATGATATGTGATATATATACTCAGCTACAGCTAAGTATATTTTTATATAAAATATATATACATCACAGCTAAGTATATTTATACATATGTTATATATGACATATAATGTGTATATAGATATATAAATAGATATTTCTTTTTTCTTTTTTAAGCACATAGACCTTGGGGTGGGGTAAGATGCCCTTACAAAGGAAGAAAAATCGGGATTGCCTTCTGAGATAGTAAATGCCAGAATGCATTGGAGCAACAGCTTTTGTTTTTTGAGAGGAAAAGGTTAGGTTAAGAATGCTATGCCCAACCAAGTTGTCATGTGTGTTTAACAGTCAGATGCCTAAGGAAGCGCGTGCTTCTGAGGCTCTCAGGAAGGGGAGCAGCTGCGATGCGGAGTCAAAGCTGTCACGACCTCCATCTTTCATCTTCACTTCTCTTCATTCGCCAGCTTCGCTCTCCCACAGTAGCTTCTTCCATGTGACCAGGAATGTCTGGATCCCATTTCCAGCTTTGCCACCAGTGAGGAAGTAAGGGTCATGATCTTGGGACTGCTGTCCAGAAATCCCAGGGGAGTGTTCCCACTAACCAGTAACCATAGCCAGAACAGCAGGATTGCCACTTGTTGTGGGACACCTACCTCCATGGGGGTCACTGTGACCAGATAAGTAGGAGCTTCTAGAACATGGCGGTCTCCAATAAGACCAAGGGCAAGCATTTTTTGGAAGAAGGTGAGGCAGAGCTGGGTAGGAGTGCTTGGGGTCATAAAGTGAATGGAATCAGCATTTCCCACAAGAAGTAGAAGTGAAGCTAGGTGAGAAAAACAAATACTAGAGCTTTGTTTTGGATTGTGAACCAACAGAAACCGCACAAAAGTCCATCCGAGTGAACATGGTTAGATGTTTTAGATTTTAAAAATAAATAAAATAGCATGCCATTGAGGATAAAAAAAAAAAAAAAACAACTTTCTGTATCAGGGCTCCTTAAAGTGCATGCTCATGTGCATTGGCATCCCAGAGGTTGCTGTTCAAAAGGCAAATCCAAGGCCATCCCAGGCATCTAAACCATCACCTCCAGGAATCCACACCCTTGCTAAGCCACCAAAGTGGTCCCTACACACAAAGTCTGAGACCCTCTGGCTTCATGAGCTGACTTAGGAAACAACCCAGATAAGCACATTGGGTTTGATGTGACCAGTTTGCTGAAGCCATTGTGACAAATGTAAGTTTAAAAAAAAAAAAATGAAACCACTACACGTTCATGTTTTTTGTTGTTGTTGTTATTACCAAAGTGCAAAATAAACATCCCCAACTGCCCCAGTGAAGAGAAGTCGGAGGGGTACAGGAGCAATGGAAATTAGAAATGAGATGACGATTGGCACAGAAGCCACCCAGGCCCAGGATCTGTTGACGACATCTACTTATCCCAGAAGAGAGCTGTCAGTCATTCTTTGCACTGGTTTTTAATTAGCATAAGAAGTTTGCAGCGAGGTCCCACCTGCCTGTTCCCAGATAGGAAACCCCACCTGCAGTAGCAGGCCTCTTCACCAGGAACTTAACCTGTTTACTCAGCCACTCAGGTTTTCCATGTGACTAAGCCAGGGCTACTGGTGAGGCGGGGCTGCTGCTGTCTGCTGTGAGCACTTACCGGCCCCATTTCCCTCCCTGTGCACTGCGCCCATGGGCAGTGAAGCCACTGCCCTCAATCAGGGCTCCCTGAGAGGGTGTGCCCAGCCACACAGTCATCCTAAGCTGTACCTGCTTTTATGATGGGGGCTTTTGGGGAATCGTTGCAGATCAAAGCCACTTATATGCTTTATGATGTGCCCATCATTGCCTTTCATGTTCAAAGAGTAAATCTGAAAGTGCCGGAAAATTGATGATCTTTTCAGCATCTCTGCAGGTAGATAATGCACATTCACAGTAGCCATATTACTTTTTTAAAGGCCAAAGCACCAAACCTTACAACACAGGTTAAAATGGAGGTACTGCGAGGTATTCATGGATTTGGCAAATGATTAATGAACAATACCGTGGTTTGTGCTATCTTTTAGATTTTTTTTTTCCTAAATTGAATGTCAGATATAATGGGATTTTTAAAAAGCTTTCTTAAAGTGTTTATTTCGGGTCCTGTCTGCTATATTGGAAGCAGGATCTTATGTAAGCATAACATACTTAGCCAAGTGTCTTGTCTGCGGGGAACACCGTTCCATTTCCACGCCATCCGTCATTCAGCAGGTGCCTGCGCCAGTCAGCTATGGGTGTGGAGGGACAGAAAGATGGCCATTCACTCCAGCTCTGAATTCCATGAGAAAGAGGGCATGCAGAAACAAAGTGGGAAATCGGGCAAGATTTTCCCCAGAGAAGGGAGCAGAATGCAAAAGTTTGGTGGAGAGAAGCATCCTGGTACATTTGGAGAACTGGGTGACTGTAGGGGACCAAAGGGACAGTAGCAAGAAATGAGACCTGAAAACTAAGCAGGAGCTTATAAAAACCCCTGTGTTGGCACATTTGAACTTTGACATGTAAGTAATAGGGAGAAGTGAGCATAGAAATGTAAAACTATCCAGTGAGACACAACCCCATGACATAGACACCATCCTGCCTGGACATGATCGAAAATGCAAACTATTTATCCACGTAAGGAAAGCAAGGACCTGGGGATTAGTTGATGTAGAACACAAACGTGACCATCACATGCCAAAATGGCTGCACTGAGCACAGAAAGAGCTAGCAAGGGTGGAGTTCTTTAGAAAGGTAGATGCAACCCTCAGTAATGAAACCAGAAATCAGAAACTCTCACAGGAGAAAAACTGTAATAAAAATAAAATTTCTTCATCTTTGCAGCTCCCCCAGCTGCTTGCTTCTTTGGCTGCCCCTATAGTTATTAGCAATAAAAAAAAAATCCCTAAAATGAGACGGATCTCGATCACCACCTTCAAGGACAGCAAGGAAGCAGGAGATTAAAGAACTTCATCCCATTCTGCAGCCATTGTTCAGAGGAGAAAATTCCCAGGGAAATGATGGAAATATTTATTTGGGGGAAGGAAAGGTTTGGGTGTGGGGACATTTTGTCATTTGGTCTGTCCAGCCGCCCTTCAAGGACCTCCCTCTCCCCACACACATCTGCCTGGTTCAAGAAAAGGCACTTCCTCCTTCCGTGGCCCTCCTCCCAGAAGGAGCTGGGTTTGTGGGAATGGAGGCACCTGACCCAAGCTAGACCGCTTCCCATCCTCAAGCTTTTCAGGCGTGGGGACCAGAAGACTCACAGGTCACTGCCGCTCATATGTCTGGAGGGGAACCCTTGGGAGCTATGACTGAGCAGGTTTCCAATTCAGAAGCTGGTCTCAGTGAGAGAGCAGCATGCAGTAGAGCAGACCTACAGGGAGAAGCAGAGGCTTGAGTGACATGGGCCTGACTCCCTCCTGGCCAGATTGGCTTATCTGAGAGGCCAGCCACACTGTGGTCTTGTATAGTCCGAATGTGAACTGCAGATGATTGACAGAATTTACTGTACTCTTAGGAATTGTTGCAGGATGGGTTCTTTGATGTTGTTGTTGTTATTTTGGTATCAGGGATTAAACCCAGGGGCATTTAAACACTGACCAACATCCCCAGCCATTTTTTTAATATTTTTTTTTTTTAGAGACAGAGTTTCACTGAGTTGCTGAAGCTCCTTTTGATCCTCTTGCATCAGCTTCCCAAGCCACTGGGACTACAAGCATGTGCCACCATGTCCGGCCTCATTATTTTTTATTTTTTATTTTATTTGTTCTCTTTAGCTATACATGACAGTAGAGTATATTTTGACCTATTATACTTACATGGAGTATAACTTATTCTAATTAGGATCTTGTTCTTGCAGTTGTACATGATGCAGACTTTTAGTAGTAAAGTATTCATATGTGAACATAGGAAAGCTATGTCTGAGTCATTCTACTATCTTTCCTACTCCCATCCCCCCTTCCTTCATTCCCTTTTGTCTAATTCAATAAACTTGTATTCTCACTCCCTCTTATTGTATGTCAGCATCCACATATCAGAGAAAACATTCAACCTTTGTTTTTTGGGGATTAATTTATGTCACTTAGCATGATAGTCTCCAGTTCCATTCATTTACCGGCAAATGTCATAATTTCATTCTTATTTATGGCTGAGTAATATTCCATTGTGTATATATACCACATTTTCTTTATCCATTCATCTATTGAAGGGCACCTAGGCTGGTTCCACAGCTTAGCTATTGTGTATTGACTGCTATCAATATCGATCCATATGACGTGTCACTATAGTATGATAATTTTAAGTCCTTTGGGTATATACCAAGGAGTGGGATAACTGGTTCAAATGGTGGTTCCATTCCATGTTTTCTTAGGAATCTCCAAACTGCTTTCCATAGTGGTTGCACCAATTTGCCATCCCACCAGTAAAAAGTGTGAGTGTATCTTTTTCCCCACCTCCTCACCAACATTTATTGATACTTGTATTCTTTTTTTTAATATCTTTATTTTTATGTGATGCTGAGGATTGAATCCAGTGCCTCATGTGTGCCAGGTGAGCGCTGTACCCCTGAGCCCCAACAGTAGCCCTGTTCCTTATATTCTTGATATTTGCATTCTCCTGGAGTGAGATGGAATCTCAGTGTAGTTTTCATTTGCATGTTGAACATTTTTTCATATATTTGTTGACCATCCATATTATTCCTTCTGCAAAGTGCTTGTTCAGTTCCTTTGCCCATTTATTGATTGAATTATTTGATTTTTGTTTTGTTTTCATGTTTAAATTTTTTGAATTGTTTATATATGGAGGATGCCCATTTATTGTTTGAATTATTTGATTTTTGTTTTGTTTTCATGTTTAATTTTTTTGAATTTTTTATATATGGAGGATGAATTCTTAAATATTTTCCTCTTAGTAGCGTGTTTCCCTAGTACTGGGGATTAAACCCAGAGGCATCCTACCACTGAACCACATCCCCAGCTCTTTTCATTTTTTATTTTGAGACAGGGCCTTGCTAAGTTGCTGAGGCTGGCATTGGACTCGTGATCCCCCTTTCTCAGCCACCTGAGTAAGCAGGTGCGTATCACCTTGCCCAGCTGTTAAGGTGTGTCCAAGTTGAAGAAAACTAAGGCTTTTGGGTTGGTTTAGTCTTTTAATGAATTATAGCAGAAAAATGTATTATGCTCAGATTTGAAGGTATGTTTGGAGTTTATGTAGAAGGGTCAAGGAAGGATGTGTTGCTCCTAAGTGCTTTTATATAAGCGTAGTGCTCCTACGGAGGTCGTGAAATCCATATGACCATTCCCACCTCATAGTGATAGACAGTAGAGTTCAATGTTTAAAAATCATCTACCTACATTTCATGTCATGCAGATCCACATTGTTCCTAGCATCTGGCACTTTAACCTTTGCAAACCAGTTCCCAAAATACAAAGCCGTTGTAAAAATGCACAGGTTTTAGCATTTCCTATGAGAATTTTGGTTGATGCTAATTTTTTTTTAATTTTCTTTTTTGTAGTTGTAGATGGACAGCATGCCTTTATTTTGTTTGTTTATTTTTATGTGGTGCTGAGGATCGAACCCAGTGCCTCACACGTGCTAGGCAAGTGCTCTGCCACTGAGCTACAGCCCGGCCCAGATGCTAAATTTTGATATCTTTTCTGATATTTTCCATTTGATATTTAGTATTATCCCATCAAATCTGCCAAATGACTAATTCACTTAATTGTTTCAAATTCACCAATTTACCAAAAATGCCTCTCTCTCTTGACTCCTTACAGTTTGTAACAATTCACTTAGGCAGGATGGCAATTGATGACTTTTGAGGATTTCTACAAAGTTCTAAGTGATCAATTTGTATTTTGTTTTCCTAACAGTTTTCAACAGTATGACTCTGGCCTCACTGCAGCTGGGGGTAGCTAGAACAGAGGAGAAACAGGGAAAGAGAGGAGAGCCTATTCCCACCTGCTAATCCCACTGAGGACAGAGGCTGAGGGGGGCCAGAGGGAAAGCCCAGGGGACAGAAAGGGGTGGGCTGAAGTTGGGAAGAGTCTGACACCAAGAACCCCAGGCGCTCATACCAGCCCTGATAGTCCAACCAACAAAAATAAGGGGGAAAACAGCTTTGTTAAATATGCAAATTTAGTAAATTTGGTAAATTGGATTTTCAGCAGATTGAACCTTTGGTGAATTCACCATTTGGCAAGTCACTTTTTACCAATGAATCTAGTTCATAGAAAGTTCTCTCTTTTGCTTAAGCTAATATGAATCAGGTTTCTGTCACTCAAATCCAAGAAAATCCTAACCTAATGAGTCTCAGGAAAAATAATAACAAAAATAAGGGAGGCCAGGCGCCTAGGGAGGTTGAGACAGGAGGATCATAAGTTCAAAGCCTCTTGGCACAGGGCCAGGGGCAAGTTATTTTCTAGAATGTTGGCTTAGAATATTGACTGGGCCCAGTTGTTTCTACATGGTATATGTTCCTGGCCAAACCCTTGGCCTTCTTAAAAAGATAAAAACACTTCTTTCCTTTAGCTTCTCTTTGACACATTAAAAATTTTTTCCTCAGCAAAAAGCAAGGCACTAAGCAACTCTGTGAGACCCTGTCTATAAATAAAATACAAAACTAGGGCTGGGGATGTGGCTCAGTGGTCAAGTATCTGAGTTCAATCCCCAGGACAAAAAAAAAAAAAATGAGGAAGGAGTGTGGTTTGTTGAACAAGGGGCAGATATCGCCACTCAGATGGTATCCTGCAGATAGAAGGTATTTTATTTTATCCATCAGGAAGTGAGGTTTTGAAACTAAAAATAAGCACTAACAGGGAATGTGAAGTCCAACTAGTAGAAAGGGAGCGACTGGGTGCTTTTTTAGCTCAGACCTCCAGGCCAGATGACCCCAGCACTCTCAGAAATCTCTGTGCTGTCAGGGGAGAGAAGGGGCCCAAATACTAAAGGCAGGCAAAGGATCTCCTAGTTTCCCAAATGTGAACAGAGACCCCCAAGAGTAAAATCACTGTAGAACCTGACATAAATTTTCAACAAAATTCTAAAATTGTCAGAATTTACAAGTACTTAGAAAAAGCTACAAAAATCAGCATAAAGCTAATGGGAAGGAATTGGATAAAACTAACGTGAGTTCCTTTAAACAACATTTAAGATGAAGACCTACTCATCAGACTTGCCAGTGGCACAATACCAGGAAAGATAACTTATATTTTGGATGACAGAATCAGGATTCAAATTATCTTGACAAGCTAGAACAATAAGAAACCACCATACAATGAAGTTAATGTGAAGTTCTGCCTTTGGAATTGGTATGGCATTTGTTTGCGTGTGGAGAAGGAAAGCCTCTGGGGCCACATCTGTCCCCAAGACTCTAGTACTTGTGATTCTCCCAGTCACGTGCAGCATTGGGGTGCAAGTAAGAAACTTAGCACTAGAGAAGAGAGATAGAAATCATTCTTTTGGGTTAATTTGCACAGGGCAAGGGGCAAGTTATTTTCTAGAATGTTGACTTATAATATTGACATGGGCCCAGTTGTTTCCTCATGGTGTAGGTTCCTGGCCAGACCCCTGGCCTTCTTAAAAAGATAGCAGCACTTCTTTCCTTTAGCTTCTCTCTTTGACACATTGAAAATTTTTTTCCTAAGCTTCCTTTTCTTCAATACCTGAAACTAAAAGAAATATCCAACATATTTATGGCCAAAAAAAATGGTTTTTGCATTTAGTATTTTTTTACTTGAGGATTTCTTTTTAACTTATTTCAAAAAATATGGAATGTCCAATTTTCTGATTTTCATACATTTTGTAACCAGAAAAAAAAATATTTCAATGTTATAATTTATTTTAGATGATTTTTCTTCCAGAAACAAAGCAACTAGTTAACCAATAAATGAGCATAAAATTTTCATAGTGGAAAAAATCAGTTTGATCCTTGGTATGACAGAATTATTACAAAATGAAGCAAAGAGTTACATCCTGATCTAGGGAGAAATATACCAGGCATAGAATATCACCAAAAAAATGAAAAGAATCTGACTGAGAGCTTAAGAAGAAAAGAAATTTAGGTATAAAATGGAAAAGCACAGCAGCCTTACAGGACCAGATGACTCAGAACTCCTTGTCAGAAAAGAGAAAAAAAAATCAGGGAACAATTTGTTAAGGGATATTATATTTCTTGAGTATCAAGACAAATGGAAAAAAAAAAAAAACCCAAGCCCAGCCTAGCTAAATTATGCCATTCAGAATTAGTAACTTTCCACATCTGAAGCTTCTTTGATGCATGGCAATTCTTGGCCTTCTCTGTTTAGCATATGCACTGAATTAACAGACCTAGTAGGAAGGAGTATTTGACAGGAAACAGGCAATGTGGTTTCTGGTCCTAACGCTACCATCAGCTAGCTGTAAGCCTTTGAGGATGTCAAAATTTTTTTTGTTCTGTGATTTATCTAAAAGATTAAAAGACTGTACCAAATTTGCTCATTTAAAAAATATATATATTTATTTTTGTAAGATGAAAAAGATCTGGAGATCTGTTTCACAGCAGTGTGAATATACTTAATACTGCTACTGAACAGTACACATTAAAATGGTTAAGATCTCAAAAAGTAACATAATAATTGGTATTTGTTAGCCAGCAACATAGAAACAAGAAAAATCTATTTCTTCAAGCTCACTAACATATCAG